TAAAGTTCTGTAGGGAGCTGAGCTAATGGGAAGCTGTCCATGTACACCTTGCAGTCGCAAGAACGTTTGCTGTGTCTCCCACCACAGTCTGAAGAGACTACGTATACTTATATTCCAAACCTTTTGATTTGCACCGCAGAACTCACCAACAGTGGTGGATTTAGCAATTTGGGGGCCCAAGGCGAACACAGGCATGGCCTCTGCGTACGTTGTTCTCCATCTGTTTTTCAATCCTTACTCATCTAAGAAAGTCCTACTTGTAACTTCTTCCCAACCCAACAAAACATATTAACAGTTTAACAAATGCACTCACAGTAAAACATAAACAATATGATCTCTGTACAATAAGAATGAACCATATTGTCCATTCAGGTGGAAGATCAGTCATCTATAACCTTGGTTTTCAGCAGGATCTCAGATAAAGTTGATGATGTTTTACATCTTGTTTTAATTAAGTGAGAAGATAACACAAGGAAATAAGAGATCAACTATGGAGTTACAGAAACAATAACAAAATATAATTTTAAAAATGATTACCATTTCTCTTCGTCCCTGTCTTTTTCTTCCTCTCCCTTGAATGTTTTTTTTTTCACGTCTTGCTCTTAAAAACACTCACGTTTTTTTTAATCATCATTGTAAAGGCCATCATGGGAAATACCTGGAGCGAGTGAAAATGTGTGTGTGTGTGTGTGTGTGTGTGTGTGTGTGTGCAAACACACAAAAAGAGGCTCCGGGGCCCCGCCTCCGCTCACTCGCTCAGAGCGACACACACACACGAGCAGCAGGTCAGAGACTTAGTTGAAGAACAGTGGACACAGTGAAAACACAGAGTTCCTCTGGTCACATCTGCTCAGTGATCAGCTGCTTCATGAGCAGAGCTGAAGTTACACTTGGTTTGTATCGAGCTGGAGTTTCTGTTTCCTCCTACCTTCACTCTGACCTGCTCTCACTATAACTAATAAACACTCATCACTAGTTATCAGGACCTGATCAGTACATGAAGTAACTCAGTGTGTGTTTGATTCCAGATTTTATGAGACTGCATTTAAACATCATGAAAAATGAGTCATTCACATAATGTGTGCGCTCGGTACAACATGAGAGGTGACACACACAGGACTCAGTGTTTAAGTGACCGGAGCGACACAGATTCATGATCCGACACCATTAAACACATTATCATCATTTAAATCATCCCAATAAAAAACGGAACAAATGAACGTGAACTAGTTCTTCTAAGTGTGAACTGGTGCAACACTTCTCTTCAGTCTCTGTTTACACCCTGAATCACTTCCGTGGATGCATTCATGTAATGCATTGTGGAGGGGGTTGCAGAGACACTAGTTACTTGTGAATTATAGGCATTCTGATGCCGTTTTAGCGTATGGACTTTTAGAAGGAAATGATTAATTAAAGAAAAAGTAAAAACAAATATTAAATTTATAAGGTTCTTTATGGGGCCTAAGGCAATTGCCGACCTATGCCTAGTGGTTAAGTCCACCTCTGCTCGCCAGGGTTATCCTCTGAGCCCTTTCCTGTTTGTCTTGGCCATCTAGATCAAATAAATCCATAATTCCATCCACGGGCATAAAAAGGGGGAACATGGAACACAAAGTATCCCTTTATGCCAAAGATCTCCTTCTCCATGGTTCCGACACAGAGGCTGCGATTCCTTTGATTCTTAATATATTACAAAAGTTTGGGTAAATCTCTGGCTATAAATTAAATCTGCATAAAAGCAAGCTGTCCCCATAGATTTGGGTCATTTCAAAACTTGAGACCATCAGATTACCTTTTAAAACAACAACGGACAGTTTTACTTACCTTGGAGTTACAGTGACAAAGAATTTTACAGACCTCTTCAGCAAAAATTTGAAAAAACTGTTGACACAAACTAAACAGGATTTGGCTAGTTGGTCCTCTGCATCTCACTTATAGGCAGAGTTAATGCAATAAAAATGACTGTGCTCCCAAAGTACTTGTACCTGTTCCAATGTCTGAGTATATTTATCCCCTGCACTTATTTCAAAAAGTTGGACTCAATAATATCATTACATTACATTACCTTTCATTTAGCTGACGCTTTTATTTATTAAGAATCAAGTAAGTAATATCATCATGCATATCTGGAACGGCAAACGACCACGTTTGCGAAAAGATTACCTATACCTACAAAGAGCAAAACATGATGGAGGTGTGGCCCTCCCAAATTTCCGACTCAATTACTGGGCATCCGATTTACATTGTGTGTTATATTGGACACATCACCATTTAGACAAAAATGTTCCACCTGGGTAGGGACGGAGACACATCTTTGTGGCTCTGTCTCCCTGCCAGCTTTAATAGGTGCATCAATGCCTTTACCAGTGACTCTGTCTAACATTACTCCTTTAGTCATTCTTTCGCTTAGAATCTACTCACAATTCAGAAAAAATTTTAACCTACAAGATACGTGCCCTTACAGCCCAGTGGCATTCATCTTCTCCCACCCTCAACTCAGGACACAGCATTCAATGTGTGGCATGGGATCGGCCTGTAATTCTGTAATGTTTGCTCTTTATAGACGACAAATTTGCCTCTTTCGAACAATTGTCAAGGAAATTAAATATACCCATTTCCCATTTTTTTTTAATATTTACAGATAAGGCATTATATTTCAAGGTCTGTTTCACATTTCCCAATAAGCCCAAAATAATTGATAGTATCATGTCTTCTAATCCAACAGACAAAGGCCCAATTACATCTATACTTGGGCAAATCCCTAACTTGGACTGCAGCTTCCTGTCCAGTATTAGGAATGCATGGGAACAGGATTTGCAATTAACAATTGATAAGAAACTAGGACAACAATTTTGAAGAGAGTTCACTCATTCTCAATGTGTGCCCGACACTCTCTGCTTCAATTTAAAGTGGTACACCGGGTGTATCTTTTCAAATCAGAAAATTGTAAAACTGTGCCCACAAATTAACCCTGCATGTGACAGATGTAAGTCGCCAGATGCAACACTGATTCACATGTTCTGGCTATACCCCGATCTGGAGGGGTATTGGAAAGCTATTTTTGAAGTTCTTTTTATAGTTAAACGGTTAAAATGTATCCAGACCCCCTTATGTCGCTGTTCGGAATATTAAGTGAGGCTGTAATCAACAATTATTTTCATTATTAACTCATTAGTTGATCATTTTTGATAAATAAATTGTTTGGTCAACATTACATACAGAATAAGATGAGAAACATGCCTGTCACAGTGTCCAAGATCCCAACAAGACATCTATAAGGTAAGAACAGTCCAAAATTATCTATTATTTCAGACTTGTTTTCAAATGATCAACTGTTCAATTAATTGTTTATCACTAATTTATTTATTATATATTAGTGGAAATTTCTAAATATTATTTTGTATCTTGTGGAAATAGTTTAATAGTAACAATTATGTGAAGCGCACACTATTTGTTGTAAACTGGCTAAAGCAATTGAACAATGGGTACCAAATGAGAAGCACATCTATCGCATTAACTTTTTCATTATGATGTTCAAGCTTAGGATCTCAGCATTTTCTTGCACTCAACTAATCTGAGTTTGTCTCCTCTTTTATGAATCACTGTGTGGAAGCTTTCTGTTTATTTCACTGTTACCAGCAACAAGACTGGTTTCACACAGACAGAAAAACTATTTGAAGAACTGCTTTTTAATTAAGTTCTCACACTCATACCACTGGGGAGACTGGTGAAACTTAGAGAGGCTGTGTGTTTGTGTTTGTTTGTGTGTGTGTGTGTTAAGTGACAGCATGCTACAAGATCTGATGGACTACGAGTGCTGGGCAAAACATTGTTAGAAAATCCCTCATGCACACAGCTACAGGCGATGATAATTAATGTAAAAAAAAGTTGTCTTTTTAATTGAGATTTCTTTCTACACCGCAGCGTAGTGATGCGACCTGAGCTAGAATTGTACAATACAGCATATCCCTCAATACAACATCCGCCAACACCCAGATTTTACTATGGTGCAATAAGTTATCATTCAAGTTTGTTCATGCCAATTTAAACATGTACTTTGCCAAGGCATTATTAGTCAAGATAAGTACTAATGAATAATCCTAAACTTTTACTGTTTCCATACTTTAACCAAAATAATGATATCTTGACACTGGAATTGTGCTCTAAGAAGCATAAGGAAACGTGATTAAAAATTATTGGACAGTCTCACGAGGATGTTTGGTCAATATGCCTGTTAATTTTGATTTTTCTAATCTGATTTATAAACTTGACCCAATTAAAGTATGGATCTGACAATGAAAGAAAAAATTTAATTCAACAGTTTGGGCATTTTGAAACCTGAGTCCAGCCTCAAAGTTCCATTTAAGACAATTCAGGACAAAGAAAGTTATATTTCTTTCTTTTTCCCATGTTTCCGACACTAACTTCATCATTTGTGTGTACATGGGTGAAATTAAGCCAGTATGGTTCATTAACAGCTCATCCAGTGCAGTGCCACTATTCAGTAAGGACAAGGAGACAACAGCTGACTGCAAAAACCCATATACAGCAATACATGCAACAAAACACAACAGATCAAGGTGCTTTACCCTACAAATATATTTGTTTAATAATTTACCAGATTTTGAACTACCTATTAGTGGGAAGAAATACTTTTCTGAAAACAAAGGAGATTTTAGCTGAATTTTTGCCAGACATGTGCTGGCCATCTCAAACAAAACAAATGTGTGCATTGTGATGATTTAAATTTGACATGAGTTTCTCAAAATAAATAGTCACATTTAAAAAACACAATTCTCTCCCTTTTTTCCAACTCTGGAACCATTTCTTATCAGTGTAATATCAGATATGTATGCTGCCAATCTGCAGATAAAGTGCAAAGGGTTTTCTCACTGCAAAACAAATTATTAACGTATTTCCATAATCAGTGGGAATAAGAAGGACTCATAATGATGTACGTGTCTGAGAGCTATATGAGCTAGAGCAGCAGCAGCACTTACATTGAGGTAATGTTCTGGAAAAGATCCTCGATGCCCGCGGTAATGTTCCCGGCGCTGCCGGTGCCTTGGAATGACAACAGCGGGAAGAATTTACTGATGTCAGACTTATTGCAGTAGATCTCTGTGGGCGAGCAGGTACAAGTGGGCGGACAGTCCAGCAAGGAGCTCGGGTACATGTGAAAGAAGACGCTGAGAAGAAAGACACCCTTCCAGCAGCACAATATCCTGATATGGCGACGTACGCCGAATGCGCCAGATAACGCACCAAAGTCCTCCATACTGTCACGATTCAAGTTCCCAGATTTCGCACAACTTTGCAGGGCAAATTAAAAAAAATCCTCTCCTGGGTCCGCTCCGCTCTGCGTGAGGCGATCGGTCTCCACACCTTATTTCCCTCAGTGGGGTCTGAACGTTAGAATTGTTCTAACATCATCTCCTTTCATGTGCGTATCCACAGGCTAACACGTGTGTGTGTGTGTGTGTGTGTGTGTGTGTGTGTGCATCAGAGATCGCTATGATGCCCATGCAGTCACGGGCAAAGATACAGCGCAGGGAAGGAATAAAGACAGGGAAACATCGGTGTCTGATGTGCGGGGGATTAGGGTCTGAACGCGTGCAGCCTGGTTGTCTCTCTCTCTCTCTCTCTCTCTGTCTGTCTGTCTCTCTCTCTCTCCCACTCTCTCTCTCTCTCACGCTGTTGCTGGTAGGCTTCCAGGCTTTGAGTATGGCAGGGAGACAGACAAATGAAGGAAGCCAAATCGAGAAGGAGTCGAGCGTCCACCCATTGGGCAAAGTGGAAAGTGACTCAATTACGTGCGCACATATGGGGCGTTCAAATGCACGTCGTGTAAGAGGAGTTACCCCACAGAGAGATGACGAAGAAACACACGCATACAAATGCAAACACACCCTGTGACATTTTCTTCTGTTGTTTGTCCAACTGACCCTGAGAACAAATATTCCAGATTCTACAGTAGGTAAACTCTTTGCACGTAATTTGAGTCACTGTAAATCTAACTCGTGCTGAGCTTACTGTCATGATGTGGACAGTTATCAACTTCCCTTCACTAATTGGATATTTCTTAAAGCAGCCATAGCCACATGGGGGCAGTAGAACACTCTGTAAACAGAATGTTGACATAATATCACATTTATTTCAGGAGTCAATACATGTGTATAAACCTTATACATCCACACATATTAGTTTACTATCACTGTTATGCAGTCTATCAATGTTATGCGGTCATATTATTTTTTTGAACATTGTAAGCTGTTAGCATTTTACTAGTTGCATCTTCACTGCACAAGCAATTTGCTGACTGTAGTTTTTTATTTCTGACAGAAATCAATGACAAATGTTGGAAAGTAAGGTCTACATTTTTGTTAATTAATAATATTTGAATAGTCTTTTTTATTTGAACCCCTTTTGGATATCTTTTAACCTAAAAGAACAGGGTCATTATATTATTTTATATTACAAATCCTATAATGTCTAAGACCACTCCCCTCACCCTTGTGTCCCTTCCTCTGTCAAACTTGTAAACAATGCTGCTTGAGGGATTATGTGCAATAGTCTCATGGTTTTTTTTTTTATCACTGTGTGTGTTCAATATGTGTTATGTGCAATGCATGTATATTTTTGTTAGGTGAAATTGGGATTATTAGCAATGTTGTGATTTGGTACATCTGATGTTGTTTTTGTTTTGTCTGATTTTTGTTCTGCTTAGATTATTGTTTTTAATGTAATTGTGTGATGTTGTTTTTACTGTAACTGGGAAGGCATTTATCTATATTTCCCTACGGGGGAAATAAAATGGTAGTCTGGCCTGCTCAGGGGATGCAGATAGTACTGTTTGCAGTACAAAGACTGCACTGAGGAAGTAGCTAAGAATGGTACAGAAATCTGTTGAAGTTTCTGTATTTTGCTCCAAGTCAAGTTCAAGAATCAAGTCAAGTTTGCTTTATCATCCCAGATGGTAAACTTGGCTTACAGTCAGACTGACAGGACACAGAAACACAAAGTGAAAAAGAATGACATAGATGCATACAAAAAGTACATCAATTATCCCTAAAGTGTCATGTAATACATGTTGGGTACTCCCCTGCAGAGAGTACCCAACTCAGGGATTTTATGCGCACACATCAGATGTACCAAGGACTGAAAGAACAACTAGTACAAATGTGGAAGGTGAATTCCAATTTGATCCCCCTGTTAGTAGGAGTATTAGGGACTGTAACCCCCAAACTGGGGGAGTGGCTCCAGCAGATCCCAGGTCTGAAGCCTCTGTCCAGAAGAACAGGTAAGACCCACACAATCCTTACATTTCCAGGCCCAAGCAGTACACCCTGTCAGACCAGCTAACTCCTTATTCATAAGCTGCTGAAAAGTTACTGGTGCATTTCTCAGCACAAAAGGTATTACATCATAGGAAAATAACCGGTTGACGGTTGGACCGGTTGAAGTTTTGTGCGTATTTGGATATGTTCTTGTACGCTGTGTGCAATGGGCTCATGGATCTGTTTAATATGCGAAGTCCATTTGTATATCGTGTGTGCACCCGCCCAATGTCTGCGCCCTGTCAAAGAGCCAAAGGTTTAAATGATTTAATGTAATTTGTTACTGCTGTTAAAATATTGCACGTGGATGGGTTCTTGTCCACTGAGCACAACAGCCTTTTGGACTTGTTTAACCATGTCCAAAAGCTGGGGTCTGACAGTTGTGAGACTGGCAAACATTTGATTCATATCATACTAGCCTCTGGTTTTTACTGAAACTCGTAAAATACAAATTATGTGTATGGAAATATGAAGATGCCTATAGCCTATTCTTAATCCCAGGCTGAAATAAAAAAATTACCCTCCCACTGCCGCACCCCCAACTTAATTCAATTCAATTTTATTTGTATAGCGCCAAATCATAATTTACATTATCTCGAGGCACTTTACATAGAAGATAAAGACCTTAAAATCTTATTAATATAGAGAAACCCAACAGTTCCCACAATGAGCAACACTTTGGTGACTGTGGAGGAAAAACTCCGTCATTAACAGAGAGAAACCTCTAGAACCAGACTCAATGTGGGCGGTCATCTGCCTCGACCGGTTGGGGTGAGCAGAGAAAAAAGGGGAGGAGAGGAGAGATGGGTGGAAAAGAGGGGAGAGAAGAGAGAGAGATAGTGGGCTCAACCATGAGCTATAGTCATCCATAGTTATGCTGCTATAGGCCTAGACTGCTGGGGGATCACCCATCACACACCAGCAACCAGCACCTTCTCTCTTCTTCACTCTCTGCCTTGTTTATTTTGTTGTATCTTATTACATATCTCTAATTCCTTGGGTCTTCTCCTCCCCTCCTTGGTCCATGCTGTGCTCTCTGGAGCGCTTCCTGGCTCAGGTCCTGATGAGGAATGGACCTAGTGGAGGTCGCTGGTCTGTCGCAGGGCTGACATGGAGGGTCACGCAACCACCAGCACTCTCACCTGAGGACCTCTCACCTTTGGAGCCACCGTACCACCTACTGCACATGTTGGACCATGAGGGAGGTAGGAGTGCCCAGGGGGGACCAACGGGCCTTTGGAAGACCATGCCAACGTCCACGTGGAGATTCCTGGGCTGGATTCAAGCCCATGCCCTGAGACCGTGACTCCACCCCCACCTCCCCTTTATTTCCTTTTGTTCCCCTATTTTTATTTCCTCCACTCACCCCAACTGAGCAGAGGCCGTCCACACTGAGCCCGGTTCTGACGGAGGTTTCCTCCACCTGGGTGTTTTTCCTCCCCACTGTTCCTCCACTTGCTCAATGTGGAACAAGTTGGATTTTTTCTTTTTTAAGATCTTGGACATTTGTGCAGCAACATGACAACTGTTTGTTGTGATACTGTGCTATATTAGTACAGTGATGTGATTTGACTTATGGATAAAGATGCGGATCAGTTGTCTGCTAATGTATGTCATTGTCGACTGTCATGCCCTCCTCCTCACCTGCCTACTAGGCTCTCTCTTTCTCCCTCTCTCTATCTCTCTGTTGGTGTGTAGGTGCGTGGCTGATTACTGATGTGAACCTGGTGTGCTGCAGTTGGGGCCTTGATTGACCAGCTGCCTATATAAGCTCCACTACTGCTCTCAGTCTGCGCCGGACTTTAGACTCAGTTCAAGTTAGTTGTAGCTGCTGCTATTGTAACTATTTCGATTCTGTAAACGTCCTGTTGATCCCGCATCCTAACCTTTCCTGTCTTCCTGCTCAGGACCAGCAGCTGGATTACAGCCCCGACTCCAGCTCCAGAGTCCTGCCTGCCTGCCTGCCTGCTTGCCTGTCTGTCTACCTGCCTGCTTAAGCTATTGGACTTTTCCAATAAACCTCAGTGACTTTAAACCTGTCTCAGCCTCTGCCTCTGTGTCCAAGCCCGGCCCTTAACAGTCGTCAGTGTTGCTGGTGCATGGTAGGCCCTTTATTACCAAACAGATAATGTTCTTCAGACTATTTGATCTATCATACTATTTGCTGACTGGTTGCATGTCAGATTTGCATAATCCCTTGTTAGTTGTTGCTCTCAAAAATGGTCCATGTAATACTGAGACATTGTACTGCTGAAGGGACAGATCAAATAGGCTGTCACTCTTACCATTCATTTGAATGTATCTTTGCCCATCACTGCGTGTGGCCAAGGCTAAACACGTGGCTGTGTGTTGTTTAGTGTTGTTTTGAATGACATGACAATGTGGCTCTTGTATGGTGAAACTGATAATTATGTCCTTGATGATTTTTGTATTATGGATGGCAATATGCTAATCAGGTTATCAGTATACCTGTACACAGCACTATATCTAGACACTTATTCCTGCACTTGATTTTGCGAATTGTCTTGAAACTTAAGATGTTGATGATGCTCAACAATACCTGCAACTCCTGTTCTTGGTTTCTCTGGCCTACTGTGTCCAGGACTCCTCCTACTATATCTTCATTTTATGTTATCTAATTTATTGCACTACCTTGGTGTAAACACAAATTGCCCTTTGGGGACAACATTAAATGTTATTGCACAGTCACTCTCAGCGTGTAGGAGAAATTGATCGGGAGGTCTCTGCTGAATTGTCCAAAAGGGCAGTAGATTTTTTGGAGTCTTCCAATGGAATCAATGAAGAGAACAACAAGGGGATCTGACCTCTATGACAAAAAGACAGGATGTTTGGAGAGACTGAGCCTGCCATGGACGAAATTGTTGAATTTTACAACTGATTGATCTCCAAACCTCACTGCAAGAAAGTTGGACTCCTGAGGAGGAAACAGTCGTTAGCTGTATGCTGTAATGCTCCAAAGTTAGCTCCAGAACATAACCACAGGTTAAGCAAACAGCTCATTCCAAACAGGCATGTTTAGAACATGCCATTTGATTTATTTATTTTTTGGCAGTCCTGTCTTGTCAGACGTAATGCCATCCGGTTATTTGTTGGTTCCATCCATGATCATTTGAATAAAGCATTAACAGATTCCCTACTACATGAACTTTTGCCTTTTCTCTCTCTTTTGCTCCATTAACTAGTATACTTATTGTGATCACTGAATCATCTTTACAAGTGTATGTCATAGCATGTTTAGGAGGCATGATTTGTCTGATCAGGATGTGTAAGGAAGGATATGTTGACACTAAAAATTAAATTGTAAAAACACA